GTGCGGGGCAGCACTTCCAGACTCACAGTCACAGGAGAGTGGGGTGGGGGGGTTTGTGGCAGCTCTGTGAGTCAAGCCTACAATCACTCGAGAGTGATTGTCAGCAAGTGGACTGCTGGGTGGCCGGTGGTGACTGTTGCTTCTGAGTCTGACCTGCCTCCTCTGCTGGAGGCATCAAGCGAGAGCTTTGGGCTCGACCTTCAACTGCCCACCTTCCGACAGCCGCTCCCTTCGTGAACCCCAGCTCAAGTGCAGGCGTAGTAGCACYGGGCCGCCTGAGAGATCTGCTGGGCACTGTCGTTTCTTCGGGCAGCGCTCTCTTGTAGGATGTGCACTTCTTAGTGTGGTCGAGATGAGATTTTGGGACCAGTAAAAATAGGTCTCAAGGGAACTGTTTTTACAGTGAAGAGGTATTCTACCTCCCCTCTGTGACTACTGAACCAGAAAAACGAACTCTATGTTATAATCTGACCTCTTTTTTGTTACTAATCACTTTAAAATAACCACACTATTATAAAATAGGCAATTATCGTGTTACTTTAAGTTAACAAAACTCTCCTGTAATCAGAGAAAAATGTTAAAAAGGACAACCAAAATCATCAATGTCCAGTCAGTTAATTTGTCTTTGTAATGCTTGCATGCAGTTTAATAGAATTTGCAGAGATAGCCACAACTGATTATACAAATTAACCACATTGATTAGTAATTAAATGATTAATAATAGATGGTGAATAAAATAAAACACTCTAAAAAGCTGACCTATCTTCCTGATCAATAAGTGTGGCATAATTTATTAATTTCCATAGAAGGCAGGATAAAGCAATCAGTTTTACCCCCATGAGGTCCGGTCGTTGTTTGAAATGGTCTCTCTCGGTGATGGCCCTTAATCCAAATTATGGTCTTCGATCCTTTTGAGCTCAGTTGAAGAGAATTGATCAGCTTTTGGCCCAAACGAGAGAACTGAATTTCAGGTCCGGTCCTGGTTGTGCTGCTTTGAAGTCCTGCTGCTTCTTTAGCTGTTCCTCCTTCAGCTGAGTGACACGAAAGACCTCGTTGTGGTCCAATTCGGGCCTTTTATCTTCCTGTGTAAACTTGTTTCCCGCCTGGCCTTGGGCGATCATGTGTCATGTGCTTTTCACGGTATTTTTCCATTGTGAAGCAACCCTCAGTACTTCCCCTTCTTGGGCCCGTTAGGTACTTTTTCTGTGGTGTCAAAAGTCCATTTTATCTGTTACATTCATCATTTCTG